CAAATGCACCGTGCTGAAACACCGAGGGAGGGTTTGGACGGCACCACAGGCCATCCTAGGCAAGAGAGCGCCCTCGCTTGCTGTGTGGTGCAAACTCACCGGTGTCTCCAAGGAATGGTTGGCCCTCCCACCTCACCGTGACGGCCCCCGGAGTGCCAACGTCAAGGCTGTGATCCTGAGCCCACTTACTAGCCCAGGTAGGCCTGCATGGGGTCGTACAGCGACGTGCGCAGGCTTGCGAAGAACTAACAGTATGGCTCCAGTTGGAAAAATTCTGTTCCTCTGACGATGCACAGAAGTTGGTAGGGCAGATGCTGTCTGAAGCGGGGTAGCCTCTCACCCAGGGCAAACGCTTCCAAGTCATGTCAGGCGGGATTCGTACAGGAAAACATGATGGTTAAAAAAGAAGTGTCACCCAGTTCAGCAGAGACACCTAAATGGATCGGGCAGGTCTAAAACCCATTCATGAGGTCCACAAATATGGCACCCCAAGGTGTGGGGAAGATAAAAGAGGCATGTTATTTGTCCTGCGTGCTGGATGTGTGGTGGAAAAGAGAGTGCATTATTCCTACAATCAGCTGCTTTAGGGGAACCGTGCACTTTTTGGAAGTAAAAATATCTTGAGAAAGAAAAAACCCTCTAAGAAAGAGGAACTCCCAAGGAACAGATCCGCTCAGCAATCACAGAAAGTGCTCTGTTTGGGAGTGGGGAACGATCTCATACCAAAAGGCTCGCTCGACTGACACACCCCAAGCTGCCACATTTTGTGGCTTGACCACCTCAAACAGGAAATGCTCGATCCTCTCCCCAGCTACAGCTCCCGGGAGCCTTTGCGGGAAGTCACAAAAAGACGACAACTGAGTTTGCGGAATAAACTGGGGCAGGGGCGTCTGGGAGGGCTCTTAGCACCGCCACGGGAAGGCCCCGGGGACAAGCCTGTCTTTTTTTCCCTAGCAAATTTTCTGCAAGAAGGAAAAAGGAAGAAGGGTCAAAAAAACCTGGGAAGTTCACAAGTGCAAGATGACAGCAGCTGGATCACCAGGGAATTTGGTACAGGGGCAGGAAGATGATTAAAAGGAAAAAATAAAACCCGGGGCCACCACGATGGTTACAGGCACACCACCATTACCTGGAGAAACTAGAAGACTGGATCGAGACATCAGGGAGTAGCTGATCCAAGTCCTACATTGAGTGGACCCATTGAAATGAATGAGACTCAACCTAGTCATGTCTGACTTAAGTTCCATCCCTTTTCATGGGCCTACTCTGCAGGACTAATGTGGCATACCGTCCAAAATCAGGCATATTCAAATAAATTGGTAGACATAGGCATACATTCACACCAGGAAGAGAGAGCATGCGATCTTCGTTTTAATTCCTACGGCTTTGACGAAGTTCACTCCAGTATTTGTGCAAAATAAACCCAGTTTGGGGGTAGAGGTCGGGAGTTCTGCACTGAGTTTGGCTTTTGGCCCTTCTCCTGGCTCAAATTAAGATCTTCTTGTTGGAAAGAATAATGGGGAGGGGGCATGTAACAGGTTCTGCTCAACCAGAGGAAGACCCGTAGGACAAGCTGGGGAAAGAGCTCTTCCCAACGAGCTCTCTGGGGAGGCGGACAAGCAGGGACTGCACGGATCCACGCGGCCAAGCAGGGCTGCAGGCCTGTCCTAGGCAGGGACGGTCCCTTACGCAGGCACACGGGCTGCGTGGGCTATGCAGTCGCTGGAGGACGGGCATCAGGGCGCCATGCTGGGCCCATCTGCGGTAGCCTGCGCTCTCCCAGAAGAGCCTCCCACTTGTAGGCCTGCCGAATCTGAGTCCAATTTTTTTGATATTTCAGAGTTTTAGCTTCAGGGGCAGAAGGAAAACATCTGGTTGAAGGGACGGAGCAGAGGCAGGAGACCGTTCCTCTGCTTAGCCTGAGGATCCATGCCAATAGATCCGTCGCATGACGACAAGGATCTTTCTTGACCCCCCCCAGCAAGTGCAACCCACGTGCCTCCGCCCCGACCAAGTGCCATTAATTAAATTAACCCCTCCCCCAATCCCTCTGGCTGCCTCCCCCACTTTGGCTTCCAACAGCACCCTCGCTGCTTGGCTCTGGCCCTCTGGCCCACCTGAGCGCCCTTTCCCGTACCAGCCACCTGGCAGGTTATGGCTGGAGCAAGAGGCAAAGAAGCCCTCCACAGAGGGAGGGACAGCATGGCCCCTCCACCAGGACAGCTAACCGTGTGGGCCCCAAGCCTTTGCATGGACCTGGTGCAGCTGCCCCCATGAGAGCAGCCTGGAAGCCTTTTCAGAAAGGCAGGAGAGACTCCCCGCCCTCCCGCTGGTCCCCAAACCGCACCTGTCCCCAGGCAGCACGAGCAGAGGGCGAGGAACTGAGTCCACGTGGCCGTGCCCTTGCACAAGGCCATGGCCCCTTCCCACGAAAACAGAAGAACCCGTTTTTCACCAGCACGGGGGTCGCAGTCGCGGGCTGCTCACACACACCAGCCCTCCTCTGCGACGTCACCCTCAGTTCCATCGCACTGAATGGGAAAATCACACCGTGTTGGAGTCCCTCTGCCTGCCTGTGCTCAGCCCCGGGTTCGTGTGGGCTTGTCTCTGTCAATCAAAGCACCAGGGGATCCCCTGTGGTCAGGTAAGCAGGGCTGGAATGCATACAGGCTACTGAAGAACACCGTTCTTTTGCCAAACATTTCCTGTTTGCAGGCGCAGGGTGGGGCCAAATTATTACCCGCCTACCTGCTTTTCCTCATGAGAACTCAGGGTGAACGTAAATGGGTCCCCTCTTCCACTTCATCCTCATGCCAACCTTAAGGAGTGGGGTGACAAAACGCCCGCCCAAGGGCACCCCAGGAACACGGTGGCTGAATGCATATATTCAAGCCACCTGAAAGACGGCACGCCCCTGCGCGAGCTCCAAGACCTTCTAGGGAGGCCCTTCTCTGGCCTTCCACAGGGGGGGATGCAGCACGGGGCCTTCTTGAAGGCTGCCCCAAAGCTCTGGAATACCTTCCTGAGGAGGCTTGGTTGGTGCCCCCCCCCCCACTTTACGGTTCTGTAAGCAGGCTAAAGCTTTTCTGCTCCAGCAGACATTGGGGAACGGCCTGTGAGTCTGTGCTGGGTTAATCAAGCTGTTTATAGTTTGCAGTGTTTTTAAGTTATGAAATGACTTACATGGCTCAGGGTTTGGCCGCTGGAGCCTCCATCCTAGTCCAACTCGCAGGTAATTGTGGGAAAGCAGCCCATGTGCCACGCCACGGGCCCCAGCAGGTAAGCCCAGCAGCCCTGCATACAGGAACGGCTTTGCTGGCACAGGGTGGTCTCGATGTGTCCCTAGAATCAGCTCCCGGCTCGGCAACTAACGGGGCAACAGACTTCAAGGCGCACAGACCCCTCAGCTTTGGTTTGCTGCCGCAAAGCCTCTCCCAGCCCCTGGAAAGGCAGGCATAAGACGCGTGAAAATAGTGGGACCCGGACTGCGCTGGCCAGGCCTGCAGAAATTCGCTGCTGCTCAAAACTACCCAGAAAATCTTCCCCGTTTGCCAGCCTGGGTGATCCAAGGCTGTTCCGGCACAGACTCCGAGACTGCTTTCGCCGGCACTCAGAAACACAAGCTAGGAGCTGGGAAAGGCTCGCACGGACTGGACTGTGGGCAGCAAAACATACCCACCCCCAGTTTTGGGGGGGGCAAGGAACAGTTAACACATCCCTCCCGCCCGTGTACTTTTTGCATGAGTGTCCCCCGGCATTTCCTCGCAATCCTTACAGCAACCTGGTCAGTTAGACTGGAGTTACCGCTGCAAGGCCGATGGAGAAGACCCACGGGGAGCGAGCGGCAGCACGCGGCACGAACACCCACATCCTCTGTGCACCTGGCAGGGCAGCCCCGTCAAGGGCGGGCGGGCAGCAGCAATTCCCGTTCCACTCAAGATGCTGGAATAAATCCCCAAATCTCCCCCCCCCGCCCCACATTCCCACCCCCTACCCTGTGTCATTGTTGTGCATTCATCCAGTGGTCGCCTTGCAGTCCTGAAGGCAGGAATTTGGCTCTTAAACCTAGAGCTGGGAAAACTCAACCATGGGCCTGTTTAAAGTGGGGTGCAATCTGCCCTTCTCAGGGAGAAGCACTGGCGAGGAACGCTGCTTGCCAGCTGGGCGTGTGACCCGCCGGCCCCACTGCGCACCGGGGTGGGCAAAGCGTGTGCGCTGCAGCACCCTGCACGCAACGATCAGGCTCAGGCTCTCGCCGGCCGCGTGAAGGCCAGGCTGGGCCCCGGGGCTCCGTCCGCAGCCCTGCGCCCTGCGCCCCACGGCCGCGCCTGGCCATCTCCCGAGTCAGGCCCCAGACACAGGCCTTTTCTTTTCCCGGCAAAGCTGGCAACAATAATTTAAAAATGTACAGCTCTTTGTCTTTGCCTGTTGGCCTCCGCAAGGCTTGCTGGAGCTTTTGTACGTAGCTGCCGAGCGCTGCACACGTTAATTAATATTATTAATAATAATTTAAAAAAGAAGTTTCACGGTTCAGTTCCTGAGCCAAAACAACTGGCCTTGCGACTTTAAGGGGGTCCCACACCCGAACTGAGGACGTCGCCAGAACCACAAGTCCTGCTTGATCCATGCATGGCTTCGAAAGCTGCAAAAACCCTCTCTCTCTCTCTCTCTCACACACACACACACACGTGCACACCCCGCATGCTGCAGCAGCCCTCCAAGGTCCAGCAAAGGGCTCCCAGTTCAGGAGGGGGGCTGCGTGCTCCGGGTGCTCCGCCGCAGTGGGACGAACTGGCTTCCCTCCTCCGGCAGAAGAGCGGCACAAGCCGCCGCTCCCCCAGCCCCCTCCGCGGCGTGGGCAGCGCCCGGAGGCGGGGGGTGCCTGCGCCCACGGGGAGATCCAGCAGGCAGGAGGCCGACGCAGTCTCAAGCACTGCCCCCTCCCGGGCGGGGGAGGCACCGCGGGCCGTGGGCAGAGGGATCAGTGCCAGGAGGGCGCGTCACACCAGGTGTCCCCGGCCGTTGATGTAGATGCCGTTGGTGGTGGGCTTGGCCCGGAGCGTGCCGTTCTCCTGCACAAAGTGCGTCATGGCCTGCTTGATGTTGTTCTCGCCGTCCCGCTCCTCCTCCTCCTCCTCCTCCTCGTCTGCTTTCTCCTTCTCTGTCTGGCACTCCTGGACAAGAGTCGGAGGCGGCAGCGGCGGCAGCTCCGTCTGCGTCTCGATTTCCCGCACCGTGGACAACGTGGAGTAGCTGCGTCCTTCCACCTCTTCGCCCTGCACAGGGAGCGGGCCGAGAGGTGAGCCTGGGAAATGCGCTTGCGGCCCGACTCAAGGGCAAATAAACAGCCAAATGATCCCCTGAGTTTCCCCCATGGTTGAAAATCGTCCCCAGTTATTCAAGGAGCCGACTTTTGAGGACCTGCACACTATTTTGGGGATCCTCAAGAGGAGACAGGCTGTGCGCCGCGATGCCCCGGGCGCTTCCGAGGACCTCGCTGTCCCCCAGGGCCCCCCTGCTCCTTCCAGACATCCCTGCCCCCTTCCAGCTGAAGGAACTGGAGCCCCAGGTCATCGCCTACCAGGGCCCTTTGGGCAAGGCACCCAGGGCTGTTTCTCCGTTCCACTGGCCACAAGCGCTCCCTTGTGGCCGTGCGACGGAACGCGGACGGCCAAAACGGGAACCGGCAGAGGAGTGGCTCTCCATCCCACTGAGACTCTGGGAGCAGACGCCCCGGGAACGTGGCAGACGGAAAGTCTCGCATCGGGAAGCCCCCAACAGCAGCTGCCAGCACCGCCTCGGGACGGGCCTCTCACCGGCGGGAAAGAGCGCCTGGACACCGTGGCTGAAACCGTGGCTGCTGGGCTACCACAGCAAGCCGAGGAAGGCGGCTGGGGGGCTGAGGAGGCGCCGCACTGAGACGCGGCTGGCAGGGGCCTGTGACCACCCCAGGCTTGGAAGGCCACCTGGACCCGCTTGACTGGCTGCCGCTGCAACCCTCAGTGCTCCCAGGACGCCCCCGCAAGACCTGCCCTGGCCGGCCCGAGGGGGCGCTGGCAGGGAGGAACCGCCCAGCCGGAGAGCGGGGCACGTCAGGGCGGCTGGAGAGAGCATTCCTGGGGGCCCAAGGAGCAGTTTCCAGCTTGGGCTCAACTCTTTACAGGAGTGGCCGGTTCCCCTTTTCAAAAGAGGGGGAGAAACGCTCCGTGCCTGTGCAGCCGGGCAGGTGACGGCTGCGGAGGTGAAGGCGGCAGCGTGACCGTGGCCCCCACGCCTGCTCTCGCGATCCCCGTCTGGCGGACGCCGGACCGTAGGCCCCGAATGGCTGGGGGGCCACGACTGTGAGAGCCTGGTGCATGCTGGTCCTGGGGGACAGGGGGCGGCCCAGCTGCAGAGCGAGGGCAGCTGCGAGGGTCCCGCCGCACCCTCCCCGCCGCGCCACATACTCACCAGGACGGAGCAGAGGCTGGTCTCGCGCAGGCTGTCCGCCCGGAAGCTGCCCTGCCGGCTGTCCCGGCACAGGCTGTCCCCCCGCAGGCTCTCCCGGCAGAGGCTGTCCGCCCGGAGGCTGCCCTGCCGGCTCTCGGACCGCAGCAGGAGGTTCTCCTCGGTCTGCACAGCCCAGGTGCGTGGCGGAGAGAGAGCAGACACGGCGTCAAGCACCTGGCGCAGCGGCCGTTCTCCGCCACGCGGCCGCCTCCCCACACCCTCCCAGCCGAGCCCACCTCACAGGGCTGGCAGGGGATGGAAGGAGGTGGAAAAGGGGGCCGGGTGGGGGCACTCCCAGGCACAGGAGACCTGGCGGGGCTTGCTCCCCACGCACAGAGCACCCGCCGGGGCCTGGGAAGGGCTTCCCGTGGGGAGCATCCCTGCTGGGGGTGGGGATTTCAGAGGGGTCCCCGCTGGGGGGGGGGAGCCACCCCTTCCCCACCCTTGCAGCTTCCTTACTCAGAATCAGCCCCAACACAGCAAGGAAGCCGCTGCAGCTGGGAGGGAAGTCGGCAGCGCGCTGGCCATGGGGTGGGGGCGGGGGGCGGCAAGGCACGCGGAGACGATCGTTGGAGCTTGCGCTTTGGGAGGGCCAGGATCAGCCCTTCCGGGGGTGCCCAGGCCCCCCAGGGAAACCCCTCCCTCGGTGCAGAAGAGTGCTCCTTCCCAGGCCGAGCTGGGTGGGGAATCCATTCGCTGGGGCCGCCCTCTGAGAGACGCAAGAGGGAGGGCGGCCCCGCCAGTGAACGCGAGGCGGCCCCTCCTACACCCAGGCCAGGGGGGCCCGCGGATGCGGCGATGTCCCACGCAGGCGGTGGGGCGGGACCAGGCCCCCCACGCTGGAGAGCCCCCGCGGCTCCTCTTGCCACGGACTGGCCGGACAGGACCACGGCTCTCTGCTACCTGCAGCCCAATCCTTCCTTAAGAGGAAACGGCGCCAGAAACTCAGCCTGCAAGCTATGGGCTGGCTGGGGATACTGGGAGTTGTAATCCAGCACATCTGGGGCACCGGACACCCACACCTCTGCTTCGGCAGACCTGCAGGTGTCGTCCCAGCTGCTGGCTGGAGGGGGCGCTCAGGGCCAGCCTGAAGCCCTGGCAAAGGCAGAGGAAGGCTTGTGCCGGGAAGAGGAAGGGGAGCCTCCACAGCCGGGGGCAGGCTACCACTGGGTTCCGGGTGCTGGAGGCAGCGCTCGGAAGGGGCCCTGGCCCCTAAGCCCTGCCTGCCCTTTGCCCAGGCCACTTGGTGCTGATCCACTGCTGGCGGCACTGGAATCCGGGGGGGAATGGGCTAACGCGGCCAGGCAGGTCTTCTTTTCTCAACCTTCCTCCTCCTGTGCTCCCCCACCCACTGAAAAGCCCCCCGCCCCCCCAGCCAGCCCCCGGGCTCCGCCCCGCCCTCACCTGGTTCCGGGTGTCGGTACTGTGGCTGGAGTGCAGGCGCCGGATCGAGTTCTCCCTCGTCAGGGTCAGCTCCTCCTCGCTGCGGACGCACAGGGAGGAGAGCAGTGGTGAAGCCGGGCCTGGAGGGGCCCCCCGGGCCCCGGACCTGCCCTGCCAGCCATTGCTTGGCCTTGGCCCCTGGGAAGGGGGCCCCAAGGCAGGGAGTGGAGCCTCCTCAGGCCAGGGGGAAATCCAGCTGCCTGGGCCCAATCCAGCACTGGCAGTCAGTCCCCCAGATGGCCGTGCCCCTTCCCCGGCCCCCTTCTCCCCACCCAGTCATCGTGCAGCGTTTCCCAGCGGTTGCTCACCCCCACCCCAACTGAACCCGGTTGAAATCCCCCTCCCAAAATTACAGGCAGAAAGAGTGTTGTGCCAAAGCTCTTTCTGGATGCTTTTCTCCCTGCCCTCTGGCCTCAACTCCGGGACCCAGCTCCCAAGAGCTCCTCCGGAAGGGCCCCGGCTCAAAATCCTGCCGCCCGGAGGCCCAAATCCAGGAGGGGCGGCAGCTGCCCGGCTCCACCGCCCTCCGCGCCCCCACCAGGCCTTCCCCCCGGGGGCCACATGCGGCCGGGGCCCCCCCTCGAGCCGCCACGCATGCTCCCGCTCTGCCGCGCTCCACGGCCACGGCCCCAGGCCCCCAGACCTGGCACGTGCCCCGGCCGTGTGCCTCCCAGAGCAGCACATGGCGCCTCCTGGCGGGGCCTGCGCGCGGCTTACTATTTCTCGGTGATGCGCTTGGTCTTCCGCTTGTGGTAGCAGGTCATGAGGACGACCACGAGGACGAGGAGGCCCAGCAGCACCAGGGAAATGAGGCCGGCCCCGATCATGGAGACAGAGACCACGTCCACCTGCTTGGCTTGGCTGCCTGTGGGAGAGGCGGCGGGACAGGAGGCGCCACGTGGCTTCTCCGCTTCTGCCCAGAAGGGCCCCAGACCGCGTCCCTCTGCCCCAGGGCCCCCCCAGACGTCGCTCCGAATGACGCCACGGACTGGGCCTGCTCTCCTCCCGGCAACGGCACTCGGAGTGCACAGCAACAGGGAAAGCCGGGACGTAAGATAAACTCTCCATTAAAAGGATTCTAGGATACGTACATTAAAAACAGTGTCAAAAATGCAATGCAGGAGTAACCCAGCGGGCCTGCCGAAACCCTGAACTGGTTGGCCTGCAGTAAGGACAGCAAAGGGGGGTGGGAGCCCCGTTTGGCGGGAGTTCCGGGGCAGCCCCTGAGAGAGCCCCCCCTCGCTCCCCCAAACCTGGGCAGCCGTGAGCTGGAGAATTAGGGCAGGGGCTCCTCCGCCAGGAAGAAACATAATGCAAGCAGAGCCTTTGAGTTCAGGGAGCGGGCAAGAGACAGGGCCGTCTCCAAATTGCTCACTGCTCCGTATGAGTCCAAAAGAAGATAAAGGTGCACGTTTGCCTTCCAAAATGTGCTGGTACCAATAAAAAAGGAGTTCCTGGATTTTAACCAGGCAGGATCAAGACTAGAAAATGGGGCCATCCACTTAAACCCTTCTTATTCCCACTGAAGATCAGCGAAAGGAGCTGGGATCAAAAGACTGAAGGCCGGCATCGAAGAAAACGCCTTTTAAAAATGTAAGGGAAAGAGGAGTTCTGGGGAAATGAGTGTGCTTTTCCGGAGCTATGGGAAAGAAATCTATTTGCCGTATTTGAAAAGGAATCCCAAGAACAGCCAGCCGCTGACCGGCAGCTGAAGCATCTCTGGTGAATCTTTACCAGTTATTTCCTTACTTAACTTTTAACTAGTTGGAAATGAAAATACCTAACTTTTAATATTCAACGGTTAATTTTAAAGGCGGCTCACCTGAACTAGTGAAATGTTTTATGGGGTTTTCCCATGACGGACAGTGCGCACAGGCCGGGCCGGGCTTTCCGGAGCCCCGGCAGAGTCAAGGGCGTGTGGCACTGCCACTTTCACTGGGACTAAGTAGGACTGAATAGGGTACCAACCCCGTATGTGAATCGGGATGCTGCTAAGAGGGCTTGCCCTGGGGCGGCCCCACTTTTTCCAAATCCTCTCCTGGGGAGGAGCACTCCAGCAAGTGCTCTGCAGCCGACCGCCCGCTTTCCCTCCCCAGCTGCTTCTCTGCTCGGCCGCCTCTGCCTCGGCGTTGCACTCGCTCGGTGCGCTTCCCGCGGGCCGTGCAGGCTGTAAAGCGCGCGTGTCTCTCTGGGTGAGACGCTGTGCCCGAGGGGAGCCTCGTGTGGGGCAGGAGAGCGAGGCGGGGAGGCAGCGGCAGCCATGTCCCGCCACCCCGCTTCACTCGGGGAAAGCGCACTGGAAATGCTTCTGGGGCCTGGAGAAGACCGTGACGTTTCCCAAGCATCCAGCCCTCCCGTTTTTGGTCCTGTGAACGTGTGGGGCACAGTCCCAGCGGGCTGTGAATGCAGGCCCTGAACCCGGAGCCTGCGAGCAGCCCACGCGGGGCAAGGGGCCCCTCTGGCCTCCCTATCCTTAAGCCCCACGGCTTTCCCTCGAAGCGTTTCCCTCCCTCCCTCCCCACCCACCAATCCTCTCCACTTTCCCTGGCTGGGGGCATGAAGCTGCCCTCAGCGAGGCAGCTGCTGTTTCCTTCTTGTTGGCAGGAAACAGGATGGGATCCACTGTCTGAGGCCCACCCTCCGAAATCAGAGCGCCGTCCCCGCCTTCAGAGCTGAGGAGCCCAAACGCACGAGGTGAGGACGGATTCCAGACGAGGCTTTCGCTGCGCCGTGGCCCTTCCTCTCTCACAGGCATTCACAGAGGATACGTCTTTTCCTCACAGCGCTCCCAGGTTTTCCCAGACCTGAAGGGCTACTACTCCTGAGGGCTGTGAACAACCTTCAGCTTTAGAGGCAGCGGCGCTCCGTATCCCGCGGGGTCGGAGCACGAGGGAGAGGCTGCTATTGCCCTTTGGTCCACGGGCCTCTGCTGGGGCAGCCTGCCGAACCCTGGGCCGGACAGGCCGACTCGGACGCAGCAAAGTCCTTCCAAGGACTGATCAAGGCAGCAGAAAGCTCTGTGGCTGCCCCACCCTCTCTCCCCGGAACAGCGTATTTTCCCACGCTGTTTGACTTTTGGAAAAGCAATCTAGCAGGCTTCCAGGACCAGCAGCCCCCGAGCCGGGTGCCGGAAGGTGCCGGCAGACCAAAGCTAGCTTTGGGCTCCGGGTGCAGCAAGCCTGCTAAACACGCCGCGGCGGAGGAAACCGTGGTGCAGCAGGCAAGGATCGGGCCCAGGGCGCCTGCAGCCGCAGCCGTGGCCCGAGACCTCCCTGAGGTGCCGGGCAGCAGCCCCCAGCGTGCCTCAGCCCACAGAGCTGCCCATGCCCCGGGAGGGGCCATCAGTGCCGTGGAAGGCCCCCAGACCAGGGAGAGCTGCCGTCTCCATCCAGGGGTTTCCAAGAGGGCACACGCCAGGATCCGTCTCGTGCAGCAGACGACCCCGTGGCGAGGCGGGCGCGACGCCGGTCTACCCCTGCCCCTCCGGAAGCGTACCTGTGATGCTGACCGTGGCCCGGGCCTCCTTGCTCGCGAAGCTGTTGGCCACGTGGCAAATGTAGACGCCTCCGTCCTCCGGGCTGAGAGGCCTCTGGAAGAGCAGGGTGTCCCCCTTGACCTTCACCCCTCTGGGGAGGGGGTCGTCGAGCCTGGGCGGGGAGCAGACAGGATGAGAAGGGGGCACAGGGGCAGGCCCGCTCCTTCGCCCACCCACGGCTCCCGCTGGGTCACAGAGGGGCCCACGGGTGCCCCAGCTCCGCCGCTTGGCCACAGCCGCACCAGGGGAGCAATCGCCTTCCCCGAGCCCGCCTCGAGGTCTTGCGCCAGGGGCGAGGGAGGAAAGAGGCTCGTTCCAGCCCACTGCCCTGCCAGAGGGACGGCCAGAGCTGTTCTTGCCTTGTTTCCTCAGAGCCGCGGTATCAACAGGCACAGCCTTTTGGTCTGGGGATAGTTGGTGCCGTTTTCAGCCGGCGCTGCTCTTGGCCCTTGGCCCACAGCCAAGGCTGCAATGTAGGAACCGAGCGGCTTCCTCTCATCAGGCCTGCGGGGCGCAGGGGGGCTGTGGGGGGGGCCCAGGATTTGTGGGGGGTCGAAGGCGGAGCAGGCCGCCCTGCCGGCCGCCACTGGAGCTGCGCTGGCCTCCGGGGCTCTTCGTCCTCTTCAGGGAATGGGTGGGACCTTGCGAGGGGGCCGGCAGGAAGGCGGGCGCTGCTCTGTGCTGGCTTGGGGGCACGTGCTGCTAGGTCTGCCCCACAGACCCGCTCCCTTGGAGGCGGGGGCCGCCCTGCCCCTCTCTGAGGGCCCCACCCTTGGCCCCCGGCCCCAGCCCCGCGTCCCAGGCAGCTGCCCATCGGGCCCACGAAGCAGCCGGGCTTGCCCCCGTGAGGAGGGGGCTGCAAGCGGCAGCGTGGAGCCTGGAAAGGGCGAGGGGGCCGGATCCGGAGTTCCGGCAAAGCCCTCGCTCGCCGGGGGTCACGGCAGCAGGACCCCCTTCCTGCTGCGGCTCCCCAGCCACCGGCTGCACGTGGCCGGCCCCTTCCAAGGGCAAGGGAGTCGCCCACGGTGCCGCAGCCTCCTTGCGCCTGCTCTCAGTACCCGAGGTGACCCCCCCCCCCCAGTGCAGATCTCCGGCTGCTGGGACTTCCCAGTCCCAGCATTCCTGCCAGGCCAGCTGGGGCTGCTGGGCGTTTGAGCCCAAAGCGCCTGGAGGCCTGCCTCCTGCCCCCACAGCACGGCAGCAGGAAGATGCTAGGCCCCTGCCCCGTTCCCACTGCAGCATCATGGCCGCCTGCGCCAGCGCTCGGTCCGGCGTCCTTCCGCAGGGCAGCTCCTGCCCTGATCGGGGGCCCTCCTAGGAACCCTTCAATGGAGGAGGCGGCCCCAGAGCAACTCTCCCTGTGCCAACAGGCCTCGGGGCTCAGACACCTGCCGCAACCCAGGGCCTCTGGAAGGTATGCCTCTGCGCACGAGGGAAGCATCTTTGCATGCACGCCTGCGCCAGGGTGCGAGGCCACCCCCGTCGAAGCAGCTCGCTGGGCGGTGGGCGCAGACAGCAGGAGACCGTGCTGTGCCCGCGACCAGGAACGCAGCCTCCCCCGCTAGGCCCCCACGAGCCCATCTGTGGCTCCCGCCTGCCCCCAGGCCCCGTCTCCTGGGCAAGTCTGCGCCGGGGTGCTTGCCAGAGCGGAGGGGAGGAGGGCCCCTCCAGCAGGGCAAGGCAAGGCAGGGATCCTTGGCCAGGGAATCGAGGTGCTTCAGGGCGCCTGTGGAGGGGGTGCTCCCGGGCCCCCCAGGAGCCAGTGCGACCAGGGAAGGCGGCCAGGCCAGGGCCTCCCAGACACAGCGAGCAGCTGCGCACCGCGCTCGCTCGCCCGCTCTCGGCTCTCTCGCCCGTTCTGCTGCCTCCCCACCCCAGTGGCAAGTCCAGGCTCGTGAGGGAGCTGCAGGGGAGGGGGGGAGGAGGGCGGGGGTCACCCATGACATCATGAACAAAAGGTGCTGAAATCAAAGCGATGCCTTCCCTTTTCCCACGGTGTCTTGCATAGCTGAGCCGAGCGGTGCTGGGGCGTGTTCAGACACCGCCCCAAACTCTGCTCCGACTTGGCCGGCGTCTGAGCAAGCTGCCACGGCCTGGCACGGGCCGCGCCGCCGCCCCGCACACACATGTGTCCAAGTTTATGGGGCACATGGCCACCCACTTGACAAAAAGAAGGGCGATGCGCAGCGCACACATCCCAGCGCATAAGCAGAACGGCTGACGTGCCAACGCGACTTCCGGGCGTGGGGCTGCGTATTCATGCAGCCCTCTTCTTCGGGGCTCCAGTTCCCCACCAATGGCCCAGTGTTTTTCATCCCCATAGAAGCCACTTTGGCTAATGGGGCAGGGCACACCCCAAATAAATAAATAAATGGGGCAGGGGTGGGGCTGAGAGGAGAGGGCTCACCCAATCCCACCCTAAGCGCTACTTCCGGGGCAAGGTGAAGCTGGCAGTGTCCCGCTCAAGGCGGGCACCCCCAGCTCCTGCGTGCCCACACAATTCGTCTACTTCACACAGAGCCTCCCCTTGCCAAAAGCAAGGCAGGAAAGAGGAAATGCCTATATATGCCGCACAAACATACACAAAACCCAGGCAGAGATTGCAAAAGCAAGTGGCAACACAACCAGGACACTGGAATTTGCAAATACACAGCTCTGCTTATAAGCATCTGATGGCGTGCGTGCGCGTGCACGCACACACACACACACACACACATCGTGCTGGGATATGCTACGACATGCTCCGGTTTATGTGCCTGGCACCGACGCAGCTCCTAATGCACCTTACAAGACTTCCCCAACCCCAGCCAGGTAGTGGCTAATGTGTATAACAGGTGCAGGAGCGTGTGAGCCCCAGAGTGTATGTTTTGCAACTAGCTGTGCTCACCCATCGGGGGAGGAGAAAAGCACTTTGCACATGCTCAGAGGTGGCAAGCCATGTTCCAGGTGAACCACTGAAACCTATCTGCACAGTCATCTCTTGCATCTTAGAAACACAGAAACAGAGCGAGTCAGAAGGGGCCTCCCAGGCCTTCTAGCCTGACCCCCGGCTCCACTCACGACATGCCCACCATGGGCATGTCCAGCCTATCCTTGAACACCCTCACTGGTGGGGCCTCAACATCACCACTTTGGCTGGAGCTGGCGGAGGGTTGGAGTGTGTCCAGGTTTAATGAAGGCTCTCGCTTCTCTTGCGAAGCTTTGTCATCGGACTGGGTGTAGCTTGGCTGCACCTCCGGGCCCCAAGAGCAGCTTTGCACAACTCTCTTCGGCTCACGTTTGAAGTCGAGGCACTGGCTTCAACAGGTCGTACTGCCCAGCAAGTGGTCTGTGGGCCTGCTTTTTAACTCGTCGGCATGTGGCAGCCCCCGGACACCCCTCCGGTCGAGTACAAAAACGTCTCACCTTGATGGGTACCTAAACCGGTGCCAAACCCAAGAATCCCGGCAGCCCTGTCTTCTCGCCAAAATGCTGGAGAAGCACAGAGGTGCGTGGGCTAAACCCTCTGCCCGTGGCGAACTGGAATTCAGAGCCGTGGGGACACCGCACGGTGCTCCCTGCCGGCTCCGGCTTCCAAGGCCCTTCGAAAAGGCGCTGCTGCGGAGGGGTGCTCAGCACATGCCCAGCCTGGCCGGGGCGGGACCCCCAGCGACGGGGCCCTGCAGCTGGGCACAGCCTGTCCGGTGCAAGAGCAGCAGCAGCAGCGCCCGGGTGGGAGATGCCCGCTTTGGAGAGCCTTTGGCTCACAGCGGCGCTGCGGGGGGGGGGGGTCTCCTGCACACGTGCCCACGGCAACAGGCTGCCTGCGGGAGGCGCCCCTGACGCTGCCCTCGCCATCCACCTTTCCAGGATTCTTCTGCCGAGAAAAAAGGGAGAGAAAACCTGGAAGGACTATACATGGAAAGATGCGCCATCCGGACCCCGCGAAAATGCCCATGAACAAGGGAGGCCGATGGCGCGATACAAGCCTTGTCCTTAGCGGAGGATAGTGCTTCCGTTATCCTTAGAAACACAAAACCAGAAAAACAGAGCCAGGAGGGGCCTCCCAGGCCATCTAGTCTGACCCCCAGCTGGCTCCAGCCAGCTCCACTCAGGACATGACCACCATGTGCATGCCCAGCAGGCAAGCTGCCTCGCAGAGTGTAAGGTGTCTGGGCCCCACCATGAGCTTCCCTGGTTCAGGCCCTTTGACATTTCTCTGGTTCTCACAGAACCACTGCCCCTCTGATGCAAAACCATCGGCTGTTGGGCACAACTGGGCATGCGAATGGGGCCACAGAAACACAGAAACCGAGCAAGTCAGAAGGGGCCTCCCGGGCCATCTAGTCTGACCCCCGGCTCCAGCCGGCTCTGCTCATGACATGCCCACCATGTGCACGTCCAGCCTATCCTTGAATACCCTCACCGGTGGGGCCGCAACCACCTCCCGGGGAAGCCCATTCCACACCCTTGGGGTCCTGACTGTCAGGAAGTGCTTCCTGGCACCCACCCTGAACCTGGGTTCCCTGGGCTCCGCTCTGCTGGAATGCCTCCTGCTTCCTCCACAGGGGATAACAGGTCTCCACCCACCTCTGTGTGACACCCGCTTAGCACATCACATTGCATTTATATCCCGCTTTTCTTCCTTTTGCAAGGCATGCACAGCGGCTTACAAGAATCTCCCCCTCTCCACTCCGCCCTCCCAACGACCACCCTGTGAGGCAGGGCAGGGTGGGAGGTGGTGACTGGTTCGTCAACTCCCAAGCTTCATGGCCGAGGTGGGACGAGAATCCCGATCCCCCACGGCCACCGCTCCAAACCCCCAGCCACACGGCTTCGACAGGGCGCACCCAGGAAAGCGCAGAAAAAGCACCTGCCACAGAGAACGGCAGCGTTTGTTTTCAAAGAGGAGCCACGCTTTGGCCACCTGCGCTGCAAGGACACGGGTGCCGGCGTTTCAGTGAGGCGGTTCGAAGGGCCTCCTCCGCTCCAGACAGCAGCAGCAGGCCGGCGAAGGGATGCTTGGTTTGGCATGGGGCACTGGGAGAGGCAGGCCCAGCCCTTTCCCAGGCCGGCCGGCCGGCCGCCGGGGCCCTCCAGGGGCTCGGGGACGGCATGCCAGGTCCCCGGGGTCCCTCGGCGTCCAAGCAGGGAGCCCGCAGCTCTGCCCCTCCTCAAGGCAGCTCTGCATATTCCCGTTCTGACACAGGATCGCTGCATGAACCTGCTCGGAGCCTTTACTATTATCATGTGGATTTCAGGAGGCCTGTGAGCAAGAGGGGCTGTGCTATCTATCTGTCCCCCAAAACCCGACCTGGGACAGGCGAAGGTGACTCTAGGAGATGCGGGTGCCTGTGTTTTATCCCAAAGGTCCGGCAGCTCACATTATCCAAACACATGCAGAGAAACTTAGTCCTAAGTGAAGGACAGATTTGTTCCCTCCTTCAAAAGGACCTAAGAACAAAGTATCCCTGGGCATGCGCAAAATGCCTTTTCCTGTGATGGGAGAGACCTTTTGCAGCAACAACTGCACCAGTGAACCTGGCAGGGTGCCTGCAACACTGGTGAATGTGTTCCCCTTGTGAAAAGCAGCTTTGAAAAACACTGGTGCTTCAGGACAGAGGTCTTTGAAGCACGTGCAAAGTACTTTCCCCCTGGTGGGAAGCAGCTTTAAAGCAGCCAGGGCAGTCAGCAAGGCAGAGATCCTCCCCCGGAAGGTCTAATTGCTTGGTGAAAAGAAACTCTCACAAGAAGAGAAAACGGTACTGACACTGTCTCTCCTCTTCCGCCCACGAGCCCAGGCAGACGGCATTCGAGGCGCAGCAGCCGCGGCTGCCTGGGTGCCCCTTTCCCTGCTTCCCCAGCAGGACAACTCCCATCGCGAGGAGGGCAGACAGACTGCTCGCTGCCCCCCATCAACCCCCCCCCGCCTTGCTGACTGGGCTGTTTTCCTGCTCACCGGAAAAGGCTAGGAGGTGCATTTTTGGCCCGAGGCTGCTTCCCCGAAACCTGCAACAAGTCCCGGCTGGTTGCTCCAAGCAGGAAGCGGCTTGCGAGGCGGCAGGAATTGCTGGCTGATGAATGTGTGTTGGTGGAGGATCAGGCTTTTGGCATCCGTGGGAGCCTGCCAGGGCAGCCAGCCCACATCGGGGGCACCCTGGCTGGGAAACACGCGACAGGGCCGGCAGGCGCCCGGGGCCGCGGGTGAAGGGAAGGGGGTGCCGGGCAGGAAGTGCGGCCATCGCTGCAGCTGGCCCAAAGAAGATGCCGGAGAGGCACCCGAGCCGACGCCGGGAAACGTCAGGCTGTCATGGATGCCGGCGGTGCAGTCTTGGATCTGCATCCTGCAAAACTGCCCCACGGCTGAGGGGCTGCCCCGGGGTGGGCAGCAAAGAAAGGGGGCTGCCCATACAGCTACCCGCACCTTTTGCCCCAAGGGCACCAGCGGGAGGCGGGGGATCCCGAGCAGACGGCCGGGACAGCGCAGTGGCTGACCGGCCGGCGGGAGCGAGCCCCTCTGCTCGGCAGGGCTGGCCGTCGTCCCGCACAGCAGCTGAGCCTCCACCAGGGGGGCGCTTGCCCCCCTCGCCCCAGGTGGCTCGCTGCGCTCCAGGCCGGCCTCCTCCTCACGAGATGCTGTGCAGGCAAAGTGATCGCTGTGCCCCCCCCCCCGCCCCCCTGTGCATCCTCGTGCTCCCAGGCAAGCCGTGTTCGGGGCAGGCGCCCTTCGGGCTGCTGGATCCACACCGCACAGCCCCAAACAGAACAAGCTCCAAATACCGCTGGGTTCTGACAACACAGTTGGTTTGTGCTGTTGCTGGTTTGTTGTGGGAACCCAGCATTTCACCATGGTAGGCTTGGTCTTCAGGAACCACGATCCAAAACGATGGTTTGCTCCATGGAGCCTCTGCATCATCGTGGCCTGTCATGCAATCCGAACCCAGGATCACGTTTCCATCGTCTCGATATGCAACCAGCACAGACTCCCCCATTCAGATGGCAACCGCAGGGGCCCCTCCAGCCATCCAGCCTCCACGTGTGGACCAACGAGGAGCAGGCAGGGAGTGATGCACCCTGGGACTGAATTTCAGGCATGGTGGCTGATGGGAGGCGTGCCAGCAGTGGGAGGGCTGAGCAAGGAGGAAGGAACCACCGCAGGGTAGAAGCCACTTGGCTGTCGGTCAGGCAGACCGTGGCAACAAGCGGCCAGCCGTGGGGCCCACGTGTGGGGTGGGTGAGCCCCTGGCTCAGGAAAGGAGGCATGCAGCTGCGGGGCGGGCGCGCTTCCGGGCACGTGCTCAGCCCAGGATCCGCTTTCATCGCAGACCAGGAGCCGCCACACACCCCTCCATCGTGCCCGCTTTCACACGTGATGAACCCCAGCCTTCCTGCCCAGCCAGCAGAGCCAGGGGAATGGGAGGCCTTTCCGCTTTGCTTTTCCTAAACTGTCTGGAGTCAGGAATCCTCACAGATGCCCGCAAATTGCCTGAGGACCTTCCAGCAGGCCTGCCGAGAGGCCATGGTCTGCTGGCTCCTGCTTTGGGGAATACAGTGAGCTTCCTCGCTGAGAAATGGTGACGCTCGCCAGCAAGCAAACGCCCCACTTATTCCAGCTTCCCCCATAAGCAGTGGCAGCCCCCATGGCTGGCCCCTCCCTGTCCATCGTACATGCCTGGCCCTGCCCCGTCTGAACCTTGTGTGTCCAGGGGATGCCTTGCTGCGGAGTCATGACAAGGAAGCACCCACCTCGGCCCTCCCGGGACTCGGTCCCGCTCCCTGTCCCCCAGGCCCTTTGCAAGCTAAACCTCGGGATGCAAACGGCCGCATCTTTCCTCGGCATGTGCGCACGGACACGGCATGGTTTCCCAGACCTGAGTCGGAGGGACTCATTCTGTGAGCTTTGCCTCGCTTTGCCATTTGCCCGTCCACTAGACACGGTTTCGTGTGCTCTCGTTATCTTGGGGAGCTGAATGGCAGGAGCTTAACCTTCATGGCAGAGCGACGGGGCTCCCCGGCCCTGTCGGACCCGTTAATCGTGACACCATCCAGCAGCCCTTCCCCTTTGAGAAAGAGGTGTCCGCCCTGGGGCACCCACCCCCCCAGGACTGGACCACTAAACCAGGCAAAGCAGCTCACCGAGTCCAGTTGTATCTTGGCGGGGGGTTTCCATCTCCAAGGCACTTCAGGAAGGCGCCCTCCCTGCCTTCGGCCCAGTCCTCCTCTGCCTCGTGACCCAGGACGGAGGCATCTGAGAGATCTGTGTGAGAGATGACATGTCAGCCCGGGAGGCGCCCCCACCTCCCCGCTGGGAGCATCTGGCAGGGCTTTGCGCCACCTTCCGTCCCGGTGCCTTCTCTGGGGAGGCGAGCACCACGCAGCGCTGGCGGCCAGGCCAGGCCAGAGCCAGGGCCAGGACCACGCCCCCAAAAGCTCGGGGGCGAGCAGGCTCCGGGCCATACGTACACGTCACGTTGAGCAAGTGCGTGATCCGCTTCTGGTGCTGCAGCCCCGGGTGCGAGACGACGCAGGTCAGCGGCTTGCCGTGCATGCTGCGCCCGGGCACCACGTAGAACTCGCTGGTGATGGAGGCAGAGCGCTGGTGGGAAGACTCCTGGCTCTTGGCCGTGCCGGGCACCGCCGTCTCCCAGGTCACTGTGGGGATGGGGTTCCCCTCGGCAGTGCACGAGGCAGCCAGGGTGCGGCCCTGCCCTTCCTCCAGCGGGGGCCCGAGGTTCAGCGTCGGCAACGGGGGCACTGCAGAAGCAAAGACCCGCACGTGGCTTAGCGGGAAGCCACACGCCGGGCGCCACGGCCTGCTGCTCTGACCACACGAGCCCAAGTTCTCTGGGCACCCGCGGAGATCCAGGATCTCAACAACCGGCCGCATGAGCTGCTCTTGGATGAACCCGAAATCCAGCACTAGATCGGGCTGATCTGGACGGATTTGGGTGAGGGCAAAATCAAAGCAGGGCTCTTCTGGAGTTCTGGACTGCGGGATGGAGGCAACAGACAGAACGCTTAGCCTTTTCCTAAGGCTAACTAAAGGATGAGGGGTTTATTTTTTTTAATTATTACTTTCTTTCATTGCTGTGCCATGCCGTAGCTGGAGCTCTCTGGGCAGTTCGCAGCAGCATATAAAAACAAGCAATAAAATACCATGAAAATGCTGTCAAAAGAAACCTGAAAAATTAAAAAACAAAACAGCTAAAAATACAGTGAAGAATAGTCTGCTGGAAGAAAAGCTCCCAGGAGAGGCCTTCCCCTCGGGCCTGGGCATGATGGGCCCTCCTAGCCCGGCACCAAACAGGCAACAGGGCAGGGAGGGCATTCTATTGTGGGGGGGGGGGGATGTGTGTGGATTGACAGACCTGAAAACAGGGAAGAGTGGAGAAGCGAGGGGCTGGGTGAAGACGAAACATTTCTGACTTGGAACAAAAGCGGCCTAAGCGAGAAGCCCTTTCTGAGGGGGGCGGTGCTCAAATTGCCCGGTTGGCAGGCGGGGGCCGACGCCTCCCCCTTTGTGATAGCTCTCTTCGCTGCTGGCATTGGGAGGCTATGGGGCATGACTGGGCTAAAGCTGGGGGCACGGGGGGAGGGGAGTGGCCTGTGGCTTCAGTTAAGGGCCCCATTTCTCCCCTAATTTGGCCACTGCCTGCCATAAAATCAACCGAAGGCCCTTTCTCTCCCTCGCCGTCCCAGAACCTGGAATCACTGGGAGCCAGGGTGGTGCAGGGGGTGGGAGCACGGGCTGGGACTAAGGCGACCCGGGCTCCCACCCTCGTCCAGCCATGCTGCCCCCCGCCCAGCCCATGCCCGCCCGCCATGGGGCTACAGGGCCAGGAAGGTGTCCGCGGCACCTGCTGCCCCAGGTAATTTCCTCGCATGCTGCATGCCCAGGGCCCCAAGAAGGGGTGGGGAAGGTGAGCTAAGCCCCCGTCTCCCAGGCCCACCATCCCTCCTGCCTGGACTGCGGAAACCCTGAGGAGAGCGGCCCCCAAGCCGAGATGAGGCCTTGCCCCTCGGAGGAGGCACTCCCTGTGATGGCCACCACCACCCTTCCCAGTAGGGTGGGGGCGATGCTGGCTGGGTGAACAAGGGGGGCCCGCCCCGGGAGCTCCAGCTTCGGTCCCGGTCTGCATGCACCTCGGTGCTCGCCTGGCTCCAACTTGGTCCGGGGATCCCCTCCCTGCGGGGCACCCCTGCAGAAGGTGCCTGGGGTGATCCTGCCTGGGGCAAGTTCCACCGAGGCCCCCTTGGCACCCGTGGCCTAGTCCAGGGGGACACGGCATTGCGACCCCAAGGGCCGCCTCCATGGTTGGCCGGGATGGCCGGAGCTGCAACCACACTGACAGCTGACTCCACCCCCAAAAACAAGGGAGGCTGCTCTAGGAATGAGCTCCATGGTAGACACTGCACAGAGCGGCCCGCTCCTTCCTAGAGAGTCCCGCAGAGGAGGCCGAAAGCTCAGCTGCCGCTTCCCAGGATGCCCTAGAATGGGATTCCTTCTCCGTGGCACGAACCGTCCTTCTCCCCAGCCCCATTTCCCTTTTTGGGAGAACAAGCTGGAGGTCTGGGGGCCGCAAGCTGGCGCTGGGGGCCATCAGCAGGGCTCGAGAAAGGGGATGTCGCACCCCAGTCAAGCCCGCAGGAGAGCGGCAACCACAGCCGGACACACGACCAGCCGCAGGCTGCCACTTTCCTCTCGGGCTCGGGTGCTAACGCATGCCTGGGCCGTAAGCCGGAGGTCACGCCACCCCATGCTCCACCATGCAAGATTTTTGAAAGATCGGGCACCCAGAGAGCTAGCTTGTCAGGAAGGCAAAGTCAGAGCCTTTCTCCCTGATACGCCAGCTTTCTGTGTGCAAGGATTTCTTTTAACATGCGAATGCAGGTAAGTTTATTTTATGTGCATTCCTTCACATAAACCTCCACCCGAGCGGCTCGGTGCAGCCACAGAGACGGCACCTTGCTGGGACCCAGGCCCCAGTCAGAGGCTTACCGAGGACCTTGAGAGTGAGGCTGGATTCAAAACTGCCCAGGGGGAAGGTAATCAGGTGGCACTCATAGACACCCTCATCCGCCTGCACCGCATTCTTCAGCAGGATGGAGCCGTTGTTCAGAGACCCCTGGGCCTGCCACAGCACCCGCCCGGTGTAGGGCTCCTGGACGTATGCCCCGTGCTCCTGATGCAGCACCGCCAGCTCCACGCCTTGCCCGTCATCCATGCGCTTCAGCCACGTCACCTGGAGCACCGTCCCGTGCTCTGGAGCCTGGTAAGTGCAGGGGAGGACCACATCTTTCCCAAGCACGGCGGTGATGCTCTGCTGGGGCTCCAGCGCTCTTGCCCGGGCACCTGGCGAGACAGAAAGCAGGACCAGTGAGCGGAGCCTGCGTGCTGGGCCACCGAGCCACGCGGCGGGTCCGGCATCAACCCCTGGTCACTTCCTGCAGAGGTCTGGATGTTTGGCTCCTTTCCCCCTCTGCAGGGTGGGGACCTCCAAAAGCAGCCTGCCCCAGAGGCGAGCAGAGTGGATCCCAGGGACTTGCCCGGGGGAGTTCCTGGCTGGCGTGGATGGCGCTTCTGTTGCAGCCTAAGACTGCTTGTCTCCATATTCCCCGCTTGTTGACACGAGCCCACCCCAGCACCCCCTTCCCTCGAGCAGGGACTGGTTGGCTCCTTGGTACACACAGAAACAGAGCAAGTCAGACGGGGCCTCCCAGGCCATCTAGCCTGACCCCCAGCTTCAGCTGGCTCCACTCATGTCCTCCCCAACGTGTGGCCCAGTCTTTCCTTGAACACCCTCCCTGCTGGGGCCTCCACCACCTCCCTTGGTACCCCATTCCACTTCCTAGGAGTCCTAACCATCAACCTTAAAGCCTGGTTCCTTGAGCTTTGCCCCACCGGGATGCATCCTGCCCTCCACTCCAGGGGAGAACAGGTCACGTCCCCTCACATACCAGTAAGTTGCCAAACGATCCCCTCGGAGTCTCCTCCCCTCCAGGCTGAAGAGCCCCCGTTCCCCCAACCTCTCCTCATGAGTCATCCCTCCCAACCCGGCGACCCTTCTTGTGACCCTGCGCTGGATGGATTCCAACTCCACTGCATCTCTCCTATAATGCGGAGCCCAGAACTGGATGCACCAGAGTCATGCAGAGCGACTGAGCTGAGGGCAGTGACGTGGCCGGCGGCAGCTGGACCACAGGCGGAGGAGAAGCTGTGCCGAGTCCGAGCGGGCACAGCTCAGGGCTCGCTGCTGAGCTGGCTCCGTGGTGCTGAGGGTGGCAAAGAGGCCGCTCTTTTCCACCCGCACAGGCTGGCAGGGTTGGAGGCACTGCCCTGCGGCAGTTCTGCTCTGACCTGACTGGCTGACTCCAGAGGGAGGGGCTGGGGGACTGCTGCTCTGCGCCACGGCAGTGATGCCGTGGGGTACCGCAGGGCTCTGTCCCACCCCCCATGTTCCTGAACAGCTACACGAAGCTGCCAGAAGGGGTTATCCAGAGGTCCGGGCTGCCGTGTATGCAAATGGCACTCGGCTCTGCTCTCCTGTCATCAAACTCTGTGAGGACCCAAAGCGAGACTCAATCCGACCAGGCAGAGCTGCTGCTGGCGGGTGGGTCGTCTGTCCAGCTGGGCGCTGTTCCGCCTGCCCCGGGTGGGGTGGCCTCCCTCCCTGAAGGCAGGGTCTGCCGCACGGGAGCCAGTGCTCCTGGAGCCAGAACTGCCCCTCGAGCCTCAGGTGGACTCGGTGGCACGGGGAGCCCCTAGCAGCCTCTCTCCTGGATGGCTCTGTGTGGGTCCTGGGGGGGCTCCAGGACCCTCTGCGTGGGACTGCCTCTGAAAATGGTCCAGAGACTTCAGGTGGTACCAGACAGAGCAGCTGGGCTGCTGATGGGGACCGGCCGACACGAGCACGCCACACCGGCCCCTCCGTCCACTGCGCTGGCTGCCAGGTGGAGTCCAGGGCCGATGCCGAGTGCTGGCATTAACCTCTGAACCCAGGCCACCTACAGGAATGCCCCCTCCCTACGCACTGCCCAGGCCTTCAGCGAATCCCCCGAGGCCCTTCGGAGGGACATGAGGAGGGAGGCGCCAGAAGAAGGGCCTTTTCAGTGGGGGCACCCCACTTAAACTTTGGCTAAACTTTAGTTCTAATACTGCATTTTACATCATTATTGTGCCTGTATTTTTAATTCGATTACAGTTGCAGTGACCTTGTTAGATTGTTTTCATTGTGCTAGCTGTTTTAATGGCAACGTTGATCTGGTCTGTTATTGCTGTTTAGTGATTTTATTGGTTTTACTGTTACATTTGTTTAATGTACCCAATTTTGTTAACTGTCCAGAGAGCTTTCAGGCTATTGGGCAGGATAAAAGTGTGTTTGGCAATGCTGAAGTTGCTATTAATGGTCCCCCGGCAACAGCCAGTCATCATGCCACGGGGCCGAGCTGCCATTTGGGGGGTGGGGGCACTGCCGTCACTCTCTGTACATGTGCCCCATCACGGAAAGCCTCCCCCCCCCCGCATCGCTGCTAACAACCCCCTTTAGAAACCCAGAATTCCCAGGGAAGGAGAGAGCTGAGACAAGTCCAAGGGCGTTGCAGTCAAATATTAACCGGAAGCTCTTGCATCACAGGGCTCCTCCAGCATTTCCCCCACATCTGGGCTTTGAGAGCAGGCAGGTGGCTGGACTGGGAACTGACGAAGCCTCCAAGCCGTACGAATTCTGCTGCGCGATGCAGACGTCGGCGTGGTCGCCCTTGCCCGGGTGGGAGCTGGCTGTAACCTGCAGGACCTGTTCACCAGGGCCCCCGCCCTCCGCCTCCCCCCCTTTGCACAGTTGGTTCCGCTGTGTGCTGGCCGTCAGGTGCTGCACCTGGTGGGACCCAACCGAGACTGTGGGCAGTAAAAGTGCTTTCCTATCCTGCGTTGTGTGGGGTGCTCGGGCAGGAATTTGGATTTTGTAGGCTAGGCCTCCATTTCTGTGAGCCGCCCAGAGATTGGGGTTTGGGGCAGTACAATTTTTTTCAAATGCACATCCGCACACCTGCTCACCTGCTCATGCAACACTAGAGCAAAGCACAGCCGTGTGGAGCACCCGATTTTCTATGGATTTCCCTGCTCTGAGACCTGTTACAGAGGCCGGGAGAGCTGCGAGAGCTGCGAAGCGCAACCTGGCTGCATGCGCACCTCGGTGTGCTTCTATATAAAAAGTACTGGCAGTAAATGACACATACAAATCAGTCTGTGCTTTCTTCTTTCACAGCTGGAACAGGATGTGCCCTTCCTCCTGCATTTCACTGGGTGATAGTAAGCCATATTTGCCCACATATGCAGGGGAATCTTCAACAGAGAAGAAACTTGAGGTTTCAGATAATGGTACCTTTTTCCCCTGTATCGACCAGGGAAGGATCCCCGTATTCTTTGCATGTGCTTGAATTAGTTCCCTGTGGAGCCAGCTCCGCCACGGGGGTGACTAACAGCCTCCGCCAGGGAGGAAACCCAGATGCATTCGATGTGGCCTGCTCTGCAGGGCAGCTCTGCAGCTTGGTGACAGAACATGGCGCCTCGCATGCAAAGGGTCCAAGGCCTCCCTCTTCCTTTCAAAGGTCTCAAGATCCGCGTGAGACTCTGAGAACTCCAAACAGACCACTGGTTGTTTTATATATTCCCAAATAAATATGGCATTTTTCCCCTTCTGGGTAGCTTAAAACTCTGCCCCAAAATGACAAGTTTCCCTCTAACTGAGCTGTACAATGGATGCCTTTTGGTGCTACAGCCAAGGTCTTGGAGCAGGCTCTCACGCTTAGATTCCAGAGCATGGGGTGGATTCCTGGAATCTTGGAAGTGCTGGGCTGTGTGCAACTCTGCAGAGAAATGGGGGCTGGCACCTCTGGCCCTCCTCTCGTGCCTCTCCCGCAGGGAAAAGCGGATGTGAGAGCTGCCACTCACGTTCACACCCGTCTTCCCCTCTCCTCCACCTGCCCCGCCCCCTGCTGACTTCAAAGCAGAGAGGTGATGGCGACCTACACGTTCGGATGCCAGAGAGGCAGGAGCGAGAGCCGCCGGCAGCAGATCCCCACGGAGCAGAGGGCGCTGGATCAGTGCCCCACGCCCTGATGGGGATCCCACCCAAAGGCGAGAGTTTCTCTACAGCCCTCTGACTTGCACCTGTGCAGCAGTCGGCCAACCACTTCAACACCTGGGCTGCCACAGGACCGGCAGGTCACGGGACCCTGTGCAAGAAACCCGGGTCTCCTCTGCTGCTCCAGCATGCCTGGCTCCCACCAGGGCCCTGCGTGCGGTGCAGGCCTGGGGGTGCCCTGCGTGCAGTGCCGGGGCTCTGCCAGCCGCCTGGGACTGAGGTCAAGAGCACCTGCCCAGCCCCCTCGCCCTTGGCCCCGGGCCCACATGCCCTCCTGCCTCCAGAGCGGCCCCGGCCTCTTCTCCAGCGGGAGCAGCCGCTGCAAGATGCGCTTGCCTCCAGGGAAGTGAACAGGCCAGAGAGTCCAGAGAAACCGGCCGGCACAGATACCAGGGCTCTGCCGTGGCTTGTGCAGGGATCCCGTCCCTCCCTCCGCCTGCAAAGCCCTCGGCTGAAGCCTTCCCTGCGCAGAGAGAGGTGTTGTGTGTGGAACTCCCTGTACAGGAGAGAGTTTCTGGGGCTCGTGAGAAATGTTTATTTAGCCTTACTTTTAAAAAAGGGCAACCTATAATTGCCGCTGGGTTGTTGCTTTTTTTACATATTACATGGTGGTGGTTGAACTATTTAAAGTATTTAAAACAGGATTCTTCTTGCTGTCACCCTGTGATGTTTGTCAGTTTTAAATGCGCAGATTGCTTTTATTCCAATTGCATGTGATGTTTGTGTTGACTTTACTACTGTGCAGTTTCCTATGCTTTGGAAGGCATGCAACTTTTGCAAAAAACACATTTGATTTAGGATATATTCTGCAGGAAAAGCATGGAGTGGCTCCCCTTTTCGTGTTTTCTTCTTTTACTTTGAGGTCCAAACCTGATCAGAGCAATGGGGTTGGTGGGGGCAGGACATGCTTGCCTCCTTCGCCCTGGGTTGGGTCATTGTTCTGACCAGCCTCACCCAGATGGTTTTTTTTTTTTTTTTTTTTTTGCTTCCCATGTAGGAAAAGGTGCATAGACCCAATAACCAAGCAGCTAGTCCCCAAGGCCCGACAGCATGACTAAAACATTCTTGCCACAGCCACGGCACAAAGATGGCTCCACATCTCCCACACGGCCTGTTTGCTGCCTGCGTTGCATCAGGGCTCCAGCTCAGGCTAGAATCACAAGCTCTGCAGCCCTGGCCATGTACAGAGTGTTTTCTCTTCACACTGGATGGTGCTCAACCAGGCACAAGACAAATGCAATGGGGGGAAAGGGTGCCAAACTCACAGGAGGTGATATCCAGGCAGGATTGTGGTTGTGGTTTTTGATACATCCTCCCTATTGCCAGTGCTGGGATGCAAAGCTCACAACATTAAACACGTATACAAGTAAAACATTTGCAGAAAAAAACAAAAAGTATTGTTAAATCAATAAAGTATTTAAATCATAGAAATATACAAAGTAAAAACAATAACATGAATAAATGAATTAAATACCCTACAACGATTTAGTAGTCCAACCTTGCTGACCCACAGCCCAATGCAATCTCACAAGCTCAGACCATTCCCAAATGCCTGCTGGAACAGAAAGGGTCTTGTCTGCTCTTGGAAGCACAGCAGGGAAGGCACCAACCGGTCCTCCCTGGGAAGGGAGTTCCAGAGTCCCGGGGCAGCCACCGAGAAGGCCCCGTCCCACACTCCCACCAAGCATGCCTGAGAAGGTGATGGGACCCCCCACCCAGAAGGTCTGAAAGCCCAGGCAGGCTCACATGGAAGAGGAAGCGCCCCACCTGCACCGGGAAGAGGAGGGAGCTCCCCAGTCAGTGCTGGCCTGTTTGGTGCTCTTAAGAGCTAGCTGACTAAATGCGCACCCAAGTTATTAACAGCCACGGACCTTTCAATTCCATAAATCAAATCTGTGATTTATGCTATGAGAGAAGAACAACAAGAAAGTCAACGTTTGGTATGATTTTAAACAAGATTCACAGCACATACAGTGGAAGCTTGTGAGTCTACTCGTAAGCAAGCTCTGCTGGAGTAGGAATGTATGCAGGCCAGAAACAGCGCTTTGGTCTGAAAGGGCAAAACCAGGGGAGTCTGCATCAAATGTGAGCCTCCAGGAGCCTCTCCTGAGCCCTCCAGCCCTAGGCAGGGAAGCAGCCTGGGGGGCGTCTGTGTGTGGAGCACGTGCCCCCACGCCTCTGCTGCGGCCAGGGGCACTGCGCATGCTCAGAGGACAGCCTGCCCTTCCCAGCCCGCAGGCTTCCTGGCAGGGCTTTGAAAGATGCAGCCAGGCGCAGGGATCCCAGATGCTCACAGGGACCCCGGCACACTGGCCACAGGCGGTGGGGGGCGCTGGGCAAGCCCCCTGTGGCCCCGCTCCCTCCAAGTCAGCCTCCTCGGCCAGGGGCCACGGGGCACGCAGCCCCAGGGGCTCGGGATCGCTTTCTGCTGCTCAACATGTGGGGACACCCACAAAGGGCACGGATCCTGCCCCCCGTCAGCCGCCCGGCGGGAACAGAGCCGGGCGAAGCCTGGGGCCAGGCCCAGAAACTTGGCAGCTCTGGATCAAAACAAGCCCTGAGACGAGTCCCATCTTGTCTGGGCCCGAGAGGACAAGGAAGCCCGGCAGCAGGAGACGGGGTTGGAGCCACGGGGTTGGAGCCCCGAAGGCCTCCGTGCCAGGAGTCACATCACACGCCTAGTATGTGCCTGTTAGCAGAAACGGCGCCTGCTCAGAGTCCCACAGTCAGTCCGTAAAGAAAGCCCTGCAGAAGCGCCCCGGGAGAGCTCTGCGCCCTCTTTCACCCTTTCCCGGGCACCTCTCGGAATCGGCCTCTCACATGCGGAACCGGGCGCCCGGCCAAGAGGCACCTGGGAGGCACACGCGTCCCGCCACCACAAGGGCAGCACAGGTGCGAGCGCAACGGCTGGGGACGGGGTGGGACCCGGACTCTGCCCAAGAGGGCCGGCGGCCTGGCCTGGTCCAAACCGTCAGAGCGAAGGCGCTGCCAGCGAGTGCCCCGGCATGGCTTCACCGCCTCCGCTGCCCCTGCAACTCAGCCGGCACTCCTTCCCCAGTCCCCTCGCTTGAAGACGAAGCACCCCCGCCGGGCTGACCGGCGCCGGCCTTTCGGAGGCGCTGCCTGCAGTGCAAGGTGCCCTGCCTTGGAAGCGGCGTCCCGCTCGTGTCCGGCAGGAACCCTGAGCAGCAGCAGCAGCAACGGGGGCTCCGAAGGCGCCCCGGCCCGGTACGCAGCCGTCAGCACGGCACACTGCACGGTCGCCAGCCACGCCTGGCACCTGCGCACACCTATCAGCCAATGAGATGCAGATGACATGCGCGTCTTGCCCACTGTTGTCCTCCGTTTAGCGACGCATTTCCTGTTTGGGCAGAGCAAAGCGCTCCCACAGCCCTGGACCACTAACTCCCAGGGACCCCAGGCACAGCTCACAGTTCCCTCCAGCCCGGGCGCTTTCATCCAGCGGTACAGCAGGGCCCCGAATGCACCGCGTTTTTGCGCAGGCAAGGGCCTTCCTTGGATGCCACAAGAGCCAACTCGGAGCAAGGGCCCTGCTGCTTTTATTGTCAGGTATTTAAGCCTCCATCTCTGTGAAAAACTTTGCCGGTCATTGTCTTGTTCAAGGAGACTCCCGCCAGCCTTCCCCAGACTAGTGCCTATATGACGGCGCTTGTGCAAGCGAGCTGGCGAATGCAAAGTGTATGCAAATGTGCGCCCTCTGTTGTCCCCGA